GGTGCGAGTGCAGGGCCCCCCTGCTTCTGGGGCCCCCAGCCCGCCACTGCAGCCCGCAAGCCCACTGGGCTTTCCTGACGGGCCACTTCCGGCCTGTCGGGATAAAATCAGCCAAAGTAACCCCGTGAGCGCGCCACAGAGCCTACCTGCCTGCGGTGCCCATGGGCGGCACCGCCAGGGACTCCTTCCCGCCTTTGCCATGCACAGGGCTGGAGGTGGCCGCAAGGGCGGGAGGGACCCCAGAAATTCCTCAGGCCACAGCCGCTGCCCCGGGAGGCGGTCATCTCCGGATCAGTCTGGGGAGGGGGCAGAGCGCCCCCCACAGGAGGCAGCTGAATGTTCCAAGCACATTCTTAGCCCGTGGGGGGCCGTTCCACCCCCACCCCCATTCCGGAGGCAACTTGCCTGAACAGAGGAGCAGGGGGTTCCCTCTGTTGTGGGTCACCATTGCACAGGAGATCCAGCTGCCATTCTGAGGGTCTCTGGCTGCCCGTGCTGCCTGTCAGGGGAAAGTGGGGTGCAATCTGAGGAAAATGCCCCCAGACACAGGGCATCCAGAGACGCTTTCACGAGGCTGCCCCGCCCAGCCCTTCAGAACTGGGCCTCCAAGTCAGCAGGAGCTGAGGGCGACCTGGGCTCTGAGTGCCCCCACTTTCTTCTGGGTAGCCTTCTCGGCACCTCCCTCGCCATGCAGTCAGTCTCCCGCCAGCCCAGGCCTGGAGTCGGCTTTGGGGGAGGCGGGGACACAGGATTGTGGGGGGGGCGGGGACACAGGCTTTCTGGGGGAGCCGCCACGCGCCAGTGCCCAGGCGCTTGCCCTCGGGATAGGCCGCGGTGCTTTCTGACCCGAGTGGAAGCTGGAGGAGCGACTCTTCAGAGACGCAGCTCAGAAGGCGGCTCCCGAGAACCGGTCACCCGCCGCCGCCCCGAGAACCGGTCACCCGCCGCCGCCCCGCCAGCCCCCCGCCCCACACACAACGCGCCCTCTTCCTCTGAGCAATAACAACGGGTTAAATCGCAGCCCTATGACGCTGTCCGCAGCCCCTGCTTCACGAGTTCGATCCCCCGCCAGGAAGTGACCCACAGGGCACAGCAGACCTCTCCTGTCTCCCGGCTGCTCCCCTCAGTAGTGTGTTTCAGTCCATCTGCCTGTTCTGCTCCCACTGTGTCTCTGGTAAATACTCTTATCACCCCAGCACCTCTTGCCTGTACCCCAGTTCTTGTATGCATAAATAAATAAGTCTAAAAAAAGTGTATTATTATTGTCATTATTATCATAAATTTTAGGTTTACAACACTCTGTGTGATGCAGGGGCCCAGATTCAGGCTTCTTGCTGCCACCCACCACCCCAGCCCTAACCATCGCCACCAAGGTCCACTGCCCTCCCCACGTCCCCAGCCCGCCTCTTCTGCGGGGCGTCTGTGGGTTCCGCATCACATCTCCGGGGTGCTCTGGCTCAGTTTTGCTCCCTCTAACTTTCTGATCTGCTGCCTTTTCGTTTTCAAGAGTGGGGCAGGAAGGCCCCTCCCTTCATCTGTTCTGCAGAGGAAGCAGGGGCGAGGGGGCTCTGCTGGCCCAAGACTGAGGAGGAAGAGGGGGCAAAACCCAGTGAGGCAACGGCCCCCCAGGAGGCCAGGCCCCCTCGTAGGCAGAGACCCCAGCCAGTGCACAAAGAACACGGACCGGGGGCTCCTGTCTGTGTCCCCAGATGCGGAAGGGCCGTGGGCCGCGAGCTCAGGCCCCAGCCGTGGCCCTGCAGAGTCCCGTCCCCCGGAACCCGGCGCTCCTCACAGGAGGCATAACCAGGGTCAGGATTTAGAAAGTGTCTGTGAAGATTTCTTTGGGGGAAAGTAGAGCTATTGACTGCGAACTTCCCCCAGGAGAGGAGGCTTGCTTCCCTCTCGCGCAGCGTCCCTGGGGGCGTCTGACCTTGTGCCCGCCTCTGCCCCCGGGGCAGCAGCTGAAGGCCACAGGCTGTGCCAGGTGCCCAGAGCGGTATGTGGGGAGCTGCTTCCTGTGGGTGTCGGGACACGGCGCACCAGGCTTCCCAGACCACATGGAGCCTGCAAGAAAGCCAGGCTGTGCCATCTTAGGGCTCTCCCCCAGCGTGAGAGAGGGCTGCGGCCACTTCCGGCGCTGGGGTGCAGGACCCAGGTCAAGGTTGCAGGGCTAGGGGCTATCAGCAGTGTTGGGGTTCCCCAAGCACCCCAGCAAGCTCCCTAAGGAGCGTCACCTGAAACACCTACCTGGCCCCTAGAGGGGAGAACCACCTTCTGGGAAGGATTTCGCTCCCCGCCTCTCCGGAGCCCTAACTCCAGGCGCCCAGCTCGGGATCTGGCGAGGGAGACGCGCGCTCGGCTTCCGCCACCAGGTGGCGCGCGAGGGTGGCCCGGACGGGAGCGGCTGGCTTAGGGTGAAGGGCCCCTTCATGCTCCGCTTCTTCTGGTGGGCAGCCTCCTCTTTTTCAGTCTGTGCTGTCTACTTTGTTCTAAACCTGCATAATCAAAGGCGTGTCCCGTGTTCACTGAAATTGGTGGAAGAGGCCTGAGTGAAAAGTTGGAGTGGGGAGAGGCTGCAAAGAGCTTACTCCCGAGGGAGCAGAGGTGCTCAGGCTGCTGGGATCGGGTCCACCACCAGCCAGGTTGGGGGGTGGGGGGTTGTTGGGGCGGGGCGGCCTGAAGGGGGGTTTCCCAGGGGCTGAAACCCAGGGACTGGTGGTCTGGGGGCCTGGGGGCCTGAGGGTTTGGGGGTTTGGGGGCCTGGAGGTCGGGGGTGCCATGCCCTCAGACTGCCATCTCCAGCCACAGCACAACAGGCTCTGGGAAGGGGCCTGAGCTAGGCTGTCCACAGACCTTGAGCCCCCACCCCCACCCCTGGCGGGCGTGTGGCAGCCCCAGAACTGAACAGCACGGGCACGGGCCACGTGGTGAGGAGCCTCCTGGGAGCTGTCAGTGTGGGATTCCACCAGGGCCACATAAAACAGCCTCTGGGGCATCGCCACTATTTATAGGTGACGTGACGGTGGCCTGGCCTTGCTTTAAAATACTCCAGCCGCCTCTGCCCCCTCCAAAAGCAAACCCAAAACAAGATCAGGGAAAGGCGGAAATAAGGCTTTCTAAATGTCAGTAGTTTTTGAAGCTGGGCAAGCGGCTGTCCCTGCTTTGGGTACGTTTGATTTATATGCAGAGTCAAAAGAATCAGAACAGCCTGGAAGCTGTTGCCTCCTCGCAAGGGCACAGACTCCTCAGCTCATTTTCACAGAAAGCTGCGGGCCCCCCCGTGCATCGCCGGCCCCCTCCAGGCAGCCTGGGGCGCGCCAGCATTGCTGCTTCATGTGTTCTTTGACCTCAAAAGTCTCCATGTCGGTGGCCTGTTCCCAATCACAGAAAAAAGTGGCGACTGCTGGGAGGCAGAAATGACTGTGGACGTGAGGGCTGGGGGAGACGCTGGGCTGTTGGGTGCACCCCCTGCACCTCACAGGGAATCAGGGGTCAGACCCCGAAAGCCGGGACCACCCCACGTCCCCTCTAATTCCAGCCGGCCCTGGAAGCTGCCCCCCCCCCTGCACCCCTCGCACCCGAGGCCTGGGGTCTCCTCACTCGGCGGGCCCTACCACACCGCACCTCCCACCCAGCACCTCTATGCAGGGAAGCCGGTGCAGAGCTCCCCCGCTGTGGCTCCCGCCAGCCCAAAGGCGCCGCTGCACCCACCGCCGTGGGGGGCTGCCCTCCCTCGCCCTGCCCACCTTCCTCCCACCTCTCTGGCGGCCATGCTCTTCCACCTGTCCTGGAATTCCAGTGCCGCCTCGCACCTGAGGAGCGGGGGCCCTGGAGGGCTCGACCAGCTTCTTGCAGTCTGCACCCCTCCCTGCTCTGACGCCCACCCCCGAGCTGCGCCTCGAGGCACCTGCAGCCAGTGTCTGTTCTGAGCCTGCATCTGCCCTTGGAGGTGGGGGACCCCGCCCTCTCCCGCAGGGCCTGGCCTCACCCTCCTCTTCACCTTTGGCGTCCCTGCCCACCAGGGAGGGCCAGAACGAGGCCTGATCACGCCCACCCCAGGCCTGCTGACAGCTCCCAACACCTCCCTCAGGTTGGCCCTCCTCCCCTCTGCGACTGCTTGCCCCAAAGTGGTCTTACCCGGATTTCAGTCACAGCCTTCACTGGCACTCTCTGTGCAGGCCTAGGGCGCAGGTGCCCACAGGCAGCCGGAAGAGGCCAGGCCTCGGGGTTGCCTGTCAACCCTGCTCTGGGGCCTCTGGCTCCCTCCGGAGGGCTCAAGGCCTGTCTGCCTGCGGGGCGGGGCTGCAGCTCGCGGGGCTCACGGTGAGCAAGCCACCAACACCTGCAGGGTGAGCCTGGCACTTGAACAATGTCAGGCACGGCGCGGCAGTGATGGCAGCCGCGAGTTTATCCGTACAAACCGCAGCTTCCATGTGCGGCTTAGAGGGCATCATGGCTCATACCCGCTACTGAGAAGCATCTACGGCCTCGCATGTGTGCTGCGTGGATAGACAGAAGCAGAGCTCACAAGTCGGTGGCGCGTCCTCTCCCTTCCCTGAGGTGATTATCGCTGCGCTTTGCCAGTTTACAGAACCAAGGACACCCCCTGGGGTGTCAATTAAGCGGGTCCTTCTGTTTCCTAGCCCACCAATGCAAGCCGCAGCCCCACTTGCAGATGACCCAGGCGAGGAAAGAAAACCCTGAATAGGAAACAGAATCTAGTGTGAATCATAGCTAATTTTAAATATTTTAATTCATAGACTTTCATGATTATAGGTCAATAAGAAATCCGCGTCTGAGACTTCATTTCATTATAGAATATATTTGATAAGGATACATACAAACAGATCCGTCTTTAATACACATGGCCGGCTGCTGTCCCGCCTCTCCGAGACGCTCCCGGCAAAGGCTGGGGCGCCCGTCGCCGCCATAACCAGCCAGCGTGCAGGGTCCGGTTGCCGAGGCGCTTACTTGCCTGGCACAAGTAAATCTTCATCTTAGTCTTTAAGTTCGCCCATCACTCTTCTGCCTCCAGGCCTGGGCCACATCCCCCAATGTAAACACTTCCAACCCCACACCCAGGAGGCAAAGCAGCTCGGGGGGGCTTGCGCCCCAGCGCCAGGCAGGAAGGGGGGCGAGGGCGCCAGCCTCCGACGCCCAGGCTGCAGTGTGGGGTACACCGAGGAGAGCTTGTTGACTTGGTCTACTTGGTCTTAAGATACAAAATGATAGTGTCCAAGAGCGTAAAGAGCAAAGCCTAGCTGTCGCGTTTATTACGAGTCGCTAACATCCTATACAAGCACAACACCGTCTCATGCCAATTCATATACAGAGGGGTGGCTGCGTCTCACCCGGCCGCGCAGCGGGCGTGGAGGGGCCACGCGTTCGGGGGGCGCGGCCGCCGGGCGAGGCCCGTCCAGCTGAAACTCTGAAGGGCCTGTCTACACTGCTGCGATGCTTCAGATAATGCGGAGAAGAATCGGCTCAGCCCAGAGGCAGGCGCACGGGAAGCCGCAGGAGCGTGCGCTCCCGCCCGCCGGGGAGGCCCGTCCCCCGCCCGTCCGCCCGTCCGCCCGTCCGCCCCCGGCAGCGCGCCCCAGACCGCAGCTGGGTGCTGGCGGCCGTCGGCAACCGGGTCTGCGCCAGCGGACGCGCAACAGCTGAGCCTGCCGCAGGGTTTTAAAGGCATCCTGTGACCGTTTTTGAAGGGTTCGTAGAAAAGTTACTAGGGACACGCCAGTCGCTTCTGTTGATGTCACTGCAATGTAAACCTTGGCGTCTTTTCCTCTGAAATGTGTTTTATGAATTTCCCCTCCCCCGAGGGGGCCCTGCAGGCAGTCCCGCAGGCCTCACCGAGCGCTAAGCTAAGGTAACCGGTAGGGGCCCAGTTTTCCTGAGGTTTGTAAGAACTTTCGAACAAGACCGAAATCACAGTGACAGCGAGAGGCCAGTGCGCGGCTGTGGCCTGCTCGGCTCCAGGGCTCCTGCCCAGGACTAAATGACTCGCCACTGCATGATGCTCGTGTCCTTCCCGCCCGTGGAGATGAGGTGGCTGTCGTCACAGAGGAAGTCGACGCTGGTGACGTGGCTGCTGTGCCCACTGTAGACGTGGCTGGGCGCCTGGGGGTAAAGAGGGGGGGCTGGAGGGGGCTGGACTCCCACATTCACTCTTGCAGACACAGCTGGGCAGACACCAGCCCCCAGGGCCTGCCGCCCCCACACCGAGCATCCTGGTCAGCTGGGGACAGACACAAGCCAGTGGCCACCCTGCCACTGCCACAGGGCTGTCCTGGGCAGGGGGCGGCCCGGGGGCAGGCCCCATGCCGGGGGCGCGGATGGGCCTCTCCTCGGGGACAGAGGGCCGGGTCCCCGCAGGACGAGGAAGGACGTGCTGGCCACTGGAGCTGGCTCAGCAGGGCTGGGCAGAGGGAGCCCGGGGCAGGGGGGTGCCTGCGAGGCTGGAGGTAGACAAGCCAGTCCTGGGGCTGTGTAGGCCCCGACAGGGTCAGGGCCCTCTTGGGGCGCAGCGGGACCCAGGGTCTGCCTGTGTGTGATGAGGGTGTGCCTTCGTCCCCAGCACATTTCTAGCAACGCCAGGTCAGGCTGGAAGGCTGCACGCACAATGGGGAGACCAGTGAAGACGAGCCCTCACCCGGAACTGCCAGCAGGGATAAGAGAAGAGGTGCACTTTGCCGAAGTCGTCGCCAGTCGCCAGCAGCTTCTTCTCGTGGGCCCGGCAGACGGCGTTGATGTCGGTCCCGTCTGAGCCTTCCGGCCACACTCCTGAAACAGACACACGGACAGGGCCCTGGGTGTGCCCGAAGCAGGGGCCACACCGTGCGGACGGGTGGTCGAGCTCTGGGCAAGTGCAGCTGCCCAGAGTCTGGGTTGGAAGCCAGAAGCCGAGCAAGGCTTTGTCCTGGCTCCGGCCTCTCCCTGCATGGCCGCTCCAGGCAGCCCCAGCGAACCCGTGGCACAGAGCGGAACACAGGCAGGCTCTGCCCACCGTTTCTGAGGCTCCTTGTTGATGCTACAGCAGAGAGAGCCAGGAACCCCGGTTCTGGGCACAGTGGCTTCAGTGTCTCCAAAGCATCCGACGGGAAGCTGACCAGCACCCATGGCTGCGGTGTCCTGTTCGCCACTGGGGTAACCCTTACACGTGGGGGACCCCCAAGGGGCTTCTTAGCCCTGCATCTCTGTGAGGCTTGGTGTCAGCTCTGTGGCGGCTGCCTGCCGCGGGCACCCGCAGGTGTGGGTGTGGGGTCTGCTGCTGTGGGCCTGGGCCTGGGCTGGGGCATGGTGCCTCCTGACATCTGCTCCAGAAATCCTTTGGATTCCAGTAACTTCAGATGTGAGACAACTGGACACTCCAGTTTCTCAAACGGCAGTTCTGGTATAAATCCGGGGGTCCTGCATTTAACACCAGAAAATAGCTCCAAAAAGATTTGTGAGATTCCTGCCGGCTGACTGACGTATGGTCTTATGTAAAGAATTAGTACATTTCTTAGTCTACTAAATTTCGGCAATTTATTTTTGATCATTTAAGAATCTGTTCCAACTCTCAACTCTGAAGTGAAATGGTTAGCTTAAGAACCGGAGATGTGACCTAACATAACTCCCGTAGACCTCTGCTTCGGACACTAACCCGCTCTTCAGATGCCACCGGGTAGTGAACCTTCACGATGTTAACCCAGTAGCACCGGCAGGGCCCCCTGAGCGTGAGCCCCAGCTCCCTGCGAGGCCCCTTTTCTTTTCCAACAAGATGAAAGAAACCATTGCACGCCAGGAGAGCTCGCCAAGCGGTAGGCCCAGGTGCGCGCTGGCGGAAGGCGCTGCTTGCAGAGCGCAGAGGGTGCTTCACTCCACGGACAGCTGCAGGTGGTAGGGAGCCCCCGTTCTTACAGAGGCCAGCTCTGGGACCCAGCCAGGCCCCGAGCGCCTCTCACCCCTGCAGGGAGGGCCCCTGACAGCACCGGCACAGGCCACACCGGCACAGGGCAAGACACGCAGCACCCGGCTCCCAGCCAGCCTGCAGGGGCAGCCTGCCAGGCCAGGGACCGGCTGACGCTTTGCCCAAACCACGGGGAGGGCAGAGCGTCGCTAGTGGCTGGAGAGGAGCGTGGGGTGAGGTTCCAGGTCCTGCGGAGAGTTTTGCCGAGGCTTCCAGAAACGAGCAAGCCCACCCACCCACGTGTGCAGAGGCAAAGCGCAGAGGGCCCGGCGGCCCATTCGCTGCTGCTTTTCACAGCTTTGTTCTAGACCTGGAAGCTTGAACCCGGGACACTGCAGAGCTCTGCACCTGCTGCTTCTGCACAGTTCATCCCTGCAGCTAGTTGGGGGGAAGAAACCTGAGGGGAGGGGTCACTGTTGTTCGCCTTGCACGCAGCTTTAGTTTGTATTTCATTAGCCGTAATTTGGCTGCAGAAAGCGAAGTTGTTACAGAAAGCGAATCACGGCATGTGCTACGACTGATCGTCTTTGGTGGACTTTGATGAGAGATTTTAAATGACAGTAAAATCTAAAAAATACGTCGTCTTCATGTCATTTGTTCTAGAATGTCATTAGATGAAGAGTGCAGCACAGTTCATGTCTGTGATGTGTACCACAGAACAACAAAATTGAGAAAATTTCATTTTTGTTGACATGAAAAGGGTAAGACAAAAATAAGGAAATTAAATTGGAAAAGGTTTTCTCATAATCATTTAGAGTTGCTAATGGAGTGGGTGGGAAAGACCAAATTCTTGTACCAACTCACTAACTTTAACACCATCATTGTGCTATTTAAAAAAAAAAATTCTATTTAGGAGATACATGGAATCAACCCAAATGCCCAAAAGCAGATGACTGGACTAAAAAGACGTGGTCCGTATACACAATGGAATATTACTCAGCAGTCAAAAAAGATAAACTCATGCCTTTTGCAGCAACATGGATGGAGCTGGAAGGGATCATGCTTAGTGAGATAAGCCAGAAAGAGAAAGAAAAATACTGAATGGCTTCACTCATAGCAGGAGTATAAAGGACCAGGGGAGAAAATAATAATAATAATAATGAACAACCATATACCAGAGACATTTTCCCAGGGTGGAGTGGGGATGGGATCAGAAATGGTGGGGGGGAGTGCACTGGACTGTGGTGATGGCACAGGGTGATTTGGTGACGGGAAGCTCACGGGGATGACAACTGAGTTGGGAAAAGTCACAAAATGATGTAAAAATAAACTGTTATATTATAAATTTTTTTTTTTCCTATTTCAATTTAATAAAAATTTTCTTTCTGGGTCCTTCCTGGTGGTGCAGCAGGTTAGAGCACAACACTAGGAAGCTAAAGCCACTTCGGCAAGAATTCGGTCCCCACCCCGGAGGTGGCCACAAGACACGGCAGACCTCTCCTGTCTCCCCGCTGCTCCCATCAGCACTATACTTCGTCAGTCGGCCTGTTCTGCTCCCCACTCTGTCTTCTCTCA